TCATAAAAAGCCACAGGTTGCAATAAACATGCGACCAATAAAAGGTGATGGCCCTAATAATACTATCATAGTGTGGTCCAAGCCAACCCCCCTGTTTTGGGGTGAGTTTTTTTTTGAATGTCCATTCTCTCCGATACTGCAGGATGCTCATATTACAATCCACCCTCACCCCCACCCCTTTCCCGGACCACACACGCACATCTTGAGAATTATGGCAGTCTAAGAGTTTGGGTGGTTGGCGGGTGCTCTGGTGTGGTTTGTGCCTTCTTCCTAGCAAACATCTAGTGCCATTATTTCACCCCCTTCTTGGGCCTTACGAGTCTCTTTGGAGGGGTTGGGGGAGGTTGGGGGGGGAGAAGGACAGAGGCGTTTCAGTTTGATTCTCTCATGGGAAGATATTTTACAGAGTCATCAACAATAATGTACTCCGCAGAGTCTGATAGCCCTTTCAGGCAGGCCGAAATAGTTCGCTTCTTAAATGATGTGTAAATGTTGTCGATGTACAGCCTAAGAAATGTGTATAGTATACATAGTATAATCAGCTTACAACTCTTCGCTAGGGAGCGGTTGGTCTTGAGGGAAGGTCTCATATAAGAAATAGAAATTGGCGCTCATAATATGACCTTATGCAGTTGCGAGCGCCGTGAAACCTCTACTAAAACTAAACTCATATAAGAAAAGCCCAAAAAGAATCGCTCTTCTGAATAGTAATAACAGTTTGTTGTTGTTGTTGTTGTTTTAACGCAAGATCATCGTTGTTCGGCGTACTGGGCTGGCTGGGGGGGTATTTTAGCAAGTGATGAGAAAACATCCTATCTTAAAAAACAAAAACTACACCGCTGTTAATTTTGTGTGGGTCCAGCGTCTACTATCAGCAAAACATGCCATTTTGAAGACATCATAGTCATCTTTCCTTCTTACGATGGGGATTCGAGCGTCTATTTTTTACTAATCCGGATTGGAACAACGGAGAACCGAATAGGGGCGCTGTTAGCTAATTAATAATTATCATGGTGTGGAGGACCCTGGTTCGAATCCTCAAACGTTTGTGAATTTGGATTGTTTGGAGCTAATTTTCAAGTCTC